TTTTCGACCCCCTAACGCTCAGCATACACCTTTTCCCCCCCAGCAGCGATCCCTATCTCTGATTGGGTGGACTAGGGGTAGACCAGTTCTTTCCGAGAAAAGGTGTAGAGAAAAATAAGGAGAAATTGGGCTTGGCCTGGGTGAATGTCCTGTGTTTAGGAATCCTATAAAAATCCATTCCTTCAGCCTGAATCTGGAGGGGGACAATGTTTAGGAGAACTAGAAAATGAGGCTGTTTGGTTGTCTCAATAAAATTAATTTCCTCAACGTTTTCAAAATTACACATAAATCACTGAACATATGCAGGTACCGTCCCCCCATCCACTCCATTTCTGCAGTTTAACTGCCTATGAGCTTTTCCAGCATTGCTTTCCAGTCAGAATCATGGACCTCAGGATGGAAACCAAAACTTCACTTGAAAATAAAAGCAGAGGGGCTTGGTCCTGTGAGAGTGTGATGATTTGCTCCCTGCTTCATGAGTAGAGCTGATTGTAAGTGCAGCTAAAATTATTTCAAAGGATGGAATATTAATCAAATCAATCAGAGCTGACAAATGAGAAATATTTGAAAGTCAGGGGTAATTTACAACTTTGTTATTAGTTAAGAATCGCCTGCCTTGTAACAGTAATTAATAACACTTAGGAATGATTTGGAAATCCCCCTCCCATGCTTTATTTTCCTCTGTCTCTTAAGGAAGGAAAGAGAAAAAGGAAGCAAATGAGTGATCACTAGAAACGGGAAAAACACTGAGTCGTTTGTGGGGAGAACAAAACTGGATAATATAAAAGAAAAGGAAAAAAAAAAAAGATTAGCCCCATGGGAGGCCATCAGGAAATAAAGAAAATACAGGAGGAGGGATAGTAAATCAGAAAATGAATTCTGTAACCATACCCCATGAGCAGGCTGGCTAAAGGTTGAATTTCAAATGGCCCAGAAACCCCATCAAAATGAACAGTGCTGCTAAAAAATCTTGAAAGTAGCTCAGCTCTGAATCAAGGCAGAGCTCAAGGCATTGTCTGTTTTGTTGTTGTTAACAATGTATTTCTTTATAGCCCAGGAGCAGACGTGTGCAGGCTCTTTCCCAAATTCTATCCCCGGAGACCAGACTGGCTTTCATGTTTCTGATGTTAACTCTCCTCTTGGTGCCTGACAATCCCCTCCCCCCCAGCTTACATGGATTATTAGATTGTCTCAACCCCACCTAAACAACACACCAAAATAATGACTTGTTGAAAAACTATAAATCATTTCAGTGTCTGAGCTCGGAAAACCACTTCAGTCAACGGGCTTGCTGCGAGAAGGTAAAGAAATCCCCAACCTTCTGCTGAGGAAAAGCTGCTACTTCCCTGAAGTTTTATTTGTTAGATGGGGGAATTTTTCACGTTGGTTAAAGAGGAAAAAAAAAAAAATGGAGGGGGGAGGAAAAAAAAAAACTTTGGCAAACTTTATCTGGTCTTTATTATAAGCCCCGTTCTTGTCTCACGAAGCTCAGGCTGGGTCTACACAAGGTAGCTAGAGATTGAGATTTATTGGTCTCTAAATGAAAAGATTCATTTGATATAAGAGGTTAACTCAAAGTTTCTATACCGTGACTAGCTTCAGCAAATGTCTCTGTCGAGTCAGCACAAAAGCAGTTCAAAGAAATCTGAAAAACACACACAGATACAGACACACAAACATAGTCGCCCACTTAAGCCGCAAATGCAATTCTCTTTTGTTGTTTCTTCTGTCATTACAAAACCTTCAGCTTTTTTCTAGGTGGCTGGGATGGTTGGCTCCCCCCACCCCACCACATGCAGCTGAACTTTGCCATTTTGTATCTTTTACTTTACTAGCTCTGAATGAAAGGATAAGGGGAGGGGGAGAAAGTAAAAGAGGAGAAGTGAACTAATTCAAATAAAGCAGAATCCGTTTGTAAATGAGGTGCCTAGAGGAAGGGGGGGGCAAAGAGAGGGGTGGATGGAAGACCGGGGCTCTAGGATGAAAATAGGCAAACTCTGAAAATGGATGAGATGGGTTTTCAGAGATTAGAGTCCATGAACCCAATAGGAACCTGGCAGAACATGAGGTTGTGAAGAGAGGCCCAGGAGAGCGAGCGAAGGTGCCAGAGACTTTTAGAGGGGAGCCGGGAGGTGACGCCCAGAGGACCCGAGCTCCTGGGCTAGAAGCAAACTATGGACATGCTAATGAGGGAAAATTAACCTTTGGGTTGGGTCTGTGACATGGGCCCTCTGTTGAATGCCTGACCCAGGGGCTGCAAGCCGCTTCGCTCTGCACCAGCGAAATGAGATAATCGCCCTGAAACCCACCAGCCGTGGTGCACACAGGCGCGGAAACACTGTTGTGGACAGGGCAGAGTAGCTAGCAGCTCCTCCAAAGAAAAGGAAAACAGAGGAGAAGCCACCAGAACCATGGCCAGACACAAAGAGCAAACCTGCAGACCCTAGGTGCATCTGCTTAAGTCCCAAGCCCCTCCGGGCTGGCACATGGAAGAAAGGAGCGGGGCCTTCAAAATAAGAAGTGTCTTCCTCTCTCTTGCTCTTGTCACCAAAAGCCCCAGATAACTGGGCCTCAGTGAAGCAACACATGGGATAGATGGATTTCATCTCCAGGAACGTGGCCGGTGGGCCCGAGGATTACTGCTAAGGCCAAGGAAATATATTGGGGAGGGAAGGGGCAGGCATGGAGAACAGGAAGAAGTTGCAGAGGACAGACTAAAACAGACCAACAGAAAAGACATGCAAAGGGACATTTTTAAAGTGGAGTGGCTGTGGTTACACGTCACAGACACTGAGACAGTAAAACACACACAGGGATTTTATTAAACAAACAAGCCAACAACCAAACACACATCAAAAACACATTGGCTCCTGCTGTCACAGGGAGAGGGGATTTGAAATGATTGCGGGGTTCTGGTAGGGACCCTTATGGCCTTTACTGCAGTCTCTCTCTCTCTCTCTCTCAGGGTGTTCCAGAAACCCTGAAAGCCTCGGTGGAGAAGCGGCCTCCCAGAGGCTACGCAGGGAGGACTCCCCGTTGGAGGCGGAGGGGTCGTGTTTCCAAGTAGAGACGTCAACAAACCGCAATCTTAGTGACACTGACAGCGCAAAATTATGTTTAATGTTGTGAGGGGAAGAGGGGAAATATAAAATTAGCACAGAGAAAATGTTTCCCAGACCTTCCTCACAATTAGGGCCGCGGCATGGGGGTGGGCGCAAGGCAGGGTGGAAGCGGGAGGCCCAGGCGCCGCAAGGCCACATCGCTGAGTCCAGGCAAAGGTCCCTCTCCGCTCCGGGAGGAGTCCTCACTCCCTGGGAGGAAGAGCAAGGCTTCTGCAGGGAGGCTAAAGGCATCCCGTCCCATCCCTTCCCTGGATTCAGAGCCTTTCTTTTGGAGAAGCGGAGGTTCTGGATGTCCCATCCTGGTGGAGATGACAGTTCACGGACTGGCCTGCTCAATCCCAAGAGCCACAGGGTTTTCAAATCAGTCATGAAGCTGGCAAAAAGCTGCCCAGCCTAGAAAGCAGAAAAGGAAATGGGCGGGGGTGGGGTGGGTGGACAGATGCAAAAGCTCAGACACCCCCCTCCTTTAGAGAACCTGAGGTGTCCGTAAGGAGAAGATGCTAAGGGGAAGTAAGAACTATCTAATAAACTAGCAAGCTCCCCTCTGGAACTCGCTAGAAGCCCTGCCTCGGCTGCACCGTACAGGTGAGCTGGACCTCCCACTTTCTCACGATGCTCCAGGTCTCCATAGGCACCCCCAGCCCCTGCCAGGTCCAAGGACAGGCAGACTGCCACTAGGTAGTCAAGGGGATTGGCCCAGAGAGAGCCAGGAAGGTGGAAAAGCTGTCATTTTCAAGGAGGAAGCAGTTTCTGTTTAATGCAGATTACTTCCTCAACTGCTTATTGAAAGAGACAGAAGTGTGAGTGAGAGACAGAGTAAGAGAGAAATAGAGAAAGGATGAGTCCCCTCTTCTCGTCATGTTCTAGTTATAAAGAACATAATTTTGTCTTTGTCTGGAAACCACTGTATTACTGTGGTTATTAAACAAGCCGGCTTCCCTTCTTAGTGTCAAGGCAAGGAGAGAGGGATGAAGAGGATGAGCAGGCAACTCATTTTCAAATAATACAAATTAAAAGTAAATGTGTTTTTTAAAACTAAACCTGACTGATAAAGGCAGGAGATGTGAGATGGCAGTGAGAGAGAGAAACGGGAGGAAAAAACACGGAAAATAACCTGAATTTTTTTTTAAAAAAGACCAATCTGTGCAGAGTAATCAGGAAAAACAGCCTGGAGTGGAAAAAAGCAACTGCCATTTCCTATGTGGTAGCTCCATGACCTTAGGAAAAATGGAGAAGTAGCTTTACCTTGGGGTGGTGGTTTTACACTTTGATTTTAGCAACAAGTATCAAAATATCTAAACTAATTGATTGTCGAGTTCCTTGGCCCTTATCCAAAGAGCAATATAGATTTAATTGTATGTTGTTTAAAACTCCATTTCTTGAACAGTGTGAAACATGTAATAAAAGTCATAAACCGTATCGGAGATTCCCCCCCACCCTACCCCACCTCCACTAGCATAAATACCCGACTGACACTTGGAAATCTTAGCTAATACTTTTAATAGGCTAAAAAAAGAAAGAGAGAAAAAAAGGGCATCTGAGAAGGGTAGCCACATAATAAAATCTAAACTGTTAATCCATTTTAACTCATTCAAAAAGAACCTGTGGTTTTTGCAGAGGAGGGGTCGGGGTGAGGAGACCCCACGTCAGACATCTGATTTGTTCGAACTCGGTTCAGCTAAACCACACTCCCCTGAAGCAAAGCAAGTAGTGAGTGGCCTTCTAGAAGACAAGAGAAGGCTCTCTACCGGGGAAAACGGAGCTGAAAGTTGCCAGCGAACTGCCTGGCCCGAGCTCCCCTCTCGCTCACCGAGGCGGGGAAGCCGGTCGGCAGCCGTGGCTCTCCGCAGGCCTGGGCCCGGCTTCCCCGAGGCAGAGATGGGGGCTGGCGGCGGGCAGGAGCGCTCCAAAGCGGCGCGGCCAAGTCCCCCCGCAGCCCCTCCCCGGCGGCCTCCCCGCATTGTCCGCGGTCATCCCCGACCCCCCCGGCGGCTGCTCCGGTCCACAGGCAGCCCCGGCGCCCCCCTTTCCGGCCCGGGGCATCTCGGAGGAGGGAAGGGAGAAGGGGAGAGCCCCGACCACGCCTGCGATGTGCTCCGGGATCGGCCGCAGCCCCGGGTTCGCGGCCGCCATGAAGCCGGCGGCGGCGCGCGGGGCGGGCCGGGCTCTGGCGAGGCCACGCGGGCCGGCTGCTGGCGGAAATCTGCAAAAATCCACGTGAGCCGCCCCCTCCGCCAGCTGCCCGCGGCCCCTGACACGGCGGCATTGAAGCCGGCCCGGAGGTCCCCGAGGTCTCCGAGTGTGACAGTACTCAGCATAGCGGGTAGATGGCACAATTTTCTAACATTTAGAGAGAGGAACCCACGCTGGGAGCAATAAGTCCATTTAAAAGCCCTTTATTTAAAAGGAACAAAGATAACTGACAAGCGAAGTACAGAGACATCTCAATGAAATTTCCAAAGAAGAAAGAGAAATCAGAGGCCAGAGCAAATGCGAACCGGGCTTGATGGAACAGGCCAGCACTTTTCCTGCCCTCTCGAGAAGAAAGATAAAAAGACAAAAAGAAAGAGGTGGTGGTCACTGGGGTTTGTGCGCGTTAATGATCACAGTCCAAACCAAATTCTATAAAACCCACAGCCACAGAAACTTTAAAATGGCCGGGTGGGCTCTGCCAGGGCAGGTGGGAGAGAAGCCAGACCTGTTCAGGGGAAAAACACTCAGAAGTTTTGCCCTCCGCCTTGGGGGCTCCATCCTAACCTCGGAAAACAGCCGCTTCTCCTTTGGCTTGGCTGGTCTGGGGAGCCTGGGGACGGCAGGCCCGCCGGGCACCCACTCTAGGCACACCGGGGCCTTCTGAGGGCCTGGCGGCCCAGGCCTCTGTCCTGGAGCCGCCTCTCCTAGAACGGTGTCCAGGGCCCAGCGAGGATCCGAGGACCTAAGATGTGCTCGAAGACTGGGGACTCGAGAGCCCACTCGCAGGAACAATTGCTCTCTTTTCAAAACCGAGAGGAGCGAAAGGGCGCTCATTGATGTCACCTGGCAAAACCAAGACAGCCCACACTTCCTCGTGCGCTCTAACACTGCCATCGCCCACTCCCCAAGCCCAAACCTGCAAGCCGGGTCCCCCGCTCATCCTAAAGGCGAGACCGAGACCCGCAGGCCCGGAGGAGACAGAGGAGGGGCAGGAGGCCAGGAGAGGGGCGGTGCCCCTCTGGTCCTCCCGGCGGCGCCGGCCTCGGGCGACCCCAACCACCCCACCCCCCCAAGCAGGCGGCGGAAGAGGTGAGGTGGCTAATGCCCGCAGGGGATCAAATGATTGTATTTGGGTGGGTGCTCGCCGACGTATTTGCTGAGTAAACCTCCCTCGCTGTGATGAAGGCGAATCCCCGTTGATAAATCCATCATTACCGTTCGGATTCAGGGAGGCAGCCGCGCCACTAAATTCATCTTACATTTGTAGCGCTTTAATAGACATTTATTAAATGCTTTTAGAGAGAGGCATGGGGCGCGTGATTACATCCTAGTTATAGACAGAACATAAAGACCCACGTTAACACCCATTTGCAGGAAGGAAGGAAGAGGTGGGGAGGGGGGAGAAAAAGCAGAGGGATGGGGCGAGGGGAGACGGGGCGGGCGGGGGCACAGCGCCTGGGCGTTATTAGCCGGGGCTGCCTGGCGGGGAGCGAGGCGGGAGCCGCGCGAAGCCTCCGGCTGCGGGGCAGAGAAGCCCCCGCTCGCCTCGCAGTTCCCTGGGCTCCCGTTTGCCCCGCACCCCGCCCCCCTCTCGGCCTGGGGGGCTTGTGTTCTCAGCCGCAGCGCAGGGATGCTCGCGCTGCCTCCGCTGACCCTCTGCGGCCCCTAGCCCCCAACTCCTCCTACACTGTATCCCAGGCCTCTCCAACTGACACTCCTTGGAGCAAGCCAGGGAGAGGCGGCAGGGAAGCCCCGGCCCTTCAGGATTCCGAGAGCGCCTTCAAAGCGTCCCCTCCGCCCCACCCACCCCCCAACCAGTTAGCCAGAGAGCTGAGCCAGGCCTCCCTCAACACAAAGCAGACAGGCGCCTCGGCCGCGGGGCGGGAGAGCCCCGCTCGCTCCAAGGCGTCTCTGGCCCGACCTGCTCGGCCTGCGGAGCCCTCTTCCGTCCGGCGCCAGGAGGAAGCCACGCCACCTTTGCACCTCTGACCGTCATCCCGCCTGGGGGCCTGCCCCAGGCTGGCCTCACGGCCCTCGACCTCGATCTCAGGGAGCTGGGCCTGCGGGAATGCCTGGGCCTCCAAAGGGCCTAACCCTTCCTGAGAGCCCCAGGGCCTCACCTAAAGGCCCAGGCCCCAGGCTCCGGCAGTGCTGCGCGCCTCCTCGCTCCCGGGGGACGCGGCCACCAGCCCCGGCCGAGGGCAGTCTCGGTCAGGGCTCCTGGCCCTCTCGGGCTCTTGGTGAGGAACACTTCCGCTACCTCAAAGTTGCCCTAAGAAAATAAATACAAGTGACACTGTGCTGGGCCAAAGCTCATTAGTTCGTTGTCCAGGCCTAATAAAGAAACAGAAGCGCAAATTACAGAGTTCAGCTTCCACACACGCTCTGTCACCCGATATCAGCGGACGGCGAGCCTGATTCCAATTGCTCCGAACTTGCTGCGCAGTTCGCCCCCCACCCCCTCCTCGCAAGCAGGAGGTTGGGTGGAAAAATATAGTTCCAGAGGGGGTAATGATCAAGCTTTTCCTCTCGGAAGCCTGCGCCACCTCATTTTCCATCAGTAATCCCAATAAAATTAACGTCGTGGCTGCAATTGAAAAGAGGAGGGCCCGCGACACTCCTGAAATAACACACTCTCCCCCAGCAAAAGGTAAAAAGCAAAACGGCCCTTTGTTCAGCTAATTAACGAAGGCCCAACTCCGAAAGCAGATGTGTTTGCTTAGCTAATCACAAGCATGTTTCTTTCAAGGAACGTCATTTCGAGGGGGCCGCCCCAGGGAATGGACAAGGGGGACACAGCACCCCCCCACCCAGGTCCTCTCTGTCTCAGGGGTTTCTCACCCCCAGACTGAGATCCAGAGGCTAAAACCAGGCAGCCCATCTCTCACACCTCTCTCCCTCTTGGTCCAACCCCAGAGGCCCACTAGGCACCTCAGGGCTTGCCCGAATGCCAGGCCTGCAAGACGCAAGGGGGAAAAAAATGGAAAAGTTTTAATGACACAGATGCCATATTAAATGAGGCAGTTTTACAGTTCACTTTGAATAAGACGCTAACTTATTACAAGTCTGTTATCAGAAGGACGATAAGATTTATAACTCCAAGAGTCAGCTTTTCCCCTTACTGACAATGGATGTTAAAGAGAGGAAATCTGTTCTCTATTAGAGGAGATGAGAGTCCCTTCCCTGTTTTCGGGCATTTACAGATGCGTCCAGGAGGGCAGATACCAAGTCCCTTTGTGTCTCCTTGTTTAAAATTCTGCCTTTCCCCTTTGGCTATGAAACTGGGTCTCCTGGCTGGGTTAGCACCTCGCTCAGTCTTTCAGCTTGAGCTTGGCAGCAGGAAAAAGAGCGAGCGAGAAGGGCAGGGAGATAGATAAGATAGAAATGGGGATGGAAATGGAGGGGGTGGGGGGCGGTCTCAGGCCTTCACGTAGGAAAACTATTTCCCCCTCTTTCTTTGCCATACAAAAGATAGCTTTCTCCTAAACCAACACAGTAAGCAAACTTTAAAAAACTGGGGTCCTATTACAAACCAACGCCCAGCACTAACTGCTTTAAAATTACTGCATAATTAGATTTAGTTGAATTTCACCATTAATTAGGCAGCCGCACTGCAGGGAGCCTTTGAAATCTGAGAAAATGGGAAAAAATCATTTGAAGCACGTTTTTGAAACCTAACTTCAATAAATCTTGACGAGGCCCGGAATTCAGAGAGGAACCTCGCTCCCCTCCCAGGAGGCTGAGGGTAAGGGTCTCCAGGCCTGGGCTGGAGCTGCAGTGGGACTTTCAGGGGCGATTCCCCCCGGCGGCGGAGAGCTCAGCCCGGGCCCAAGCCAGACTCTCTGCAGAGGCCCTCGGGAGACCCTCTACGGGCGGCCGGATCTGTCCCACGGCCGACCTCCCCTGCTCTCAAACCTGTTCGATAAAGGAGATTCCCCCACCCCACCCCCCCTGCAGAAGCGCTCCCGTCAGGGTCGCCGTCCGAGCCTCCTCGTGCGTTTCTAGAGCCTGCGACCCCCTCCCCCCTCGCCTGCCCTCCACTCGGAAAGCCCCCTTTCCTCCAAGTTTGCCACGGAAGCAGCAAGTTAGCTGTGCCCACGTCCTGCGGGTGGGGGCGGGGGGGAATGGCCGACCGGTCCCCACACTCCACCATCCCGCACCCCCCACCCCAACAACTCGGAGGGGCTCGCGGGCCGACCCCCCAGCTGCAGCCCCTACATTAACGAGCGCGACGACCGACCGAGGGCTGTTCCTGTGGCCTCGCCCCCTCCCCCTCCACCACTCATTGAAGACCAGCGGTTGCGGAGGCCGACTTTCTCTCACTCGGCCCTTGCTGAGGGGGCAGACCTAGAATAACCTCTCCCGGTCATGAGGGGCGGGGGGCGCACGAAGGGGGCCACCGCGTCACCAGCGTGTCCCCTCGCAGTTCTGCCGCTCTAACGACAGGCACCACCGAGGCCCGCACTCACTCGCCGGGGAGTTTGAAAAAAGGGTTCTCTGCCCGCAGAAGCAGCGGCCTTTAGGCCCCCCCCCCGACCCCGCCCCCGTTTTTTTTTTCCCCCTTTCGGATACCCAATGTGTTTCCCATTAGCCGGCCCCGCCGCGCCTGGCAGCCCGGCGCTCGCGGCGCGCTGGGAGACGCCATGTTGGCTCCGCTCACAGGACCCAGTCGGGAGCGGGGCTTCGCGGCCGAGTTTCGCACGCGCGCGCGCCCCCCGCGCGCCGCCCGCCGCCTCACGCGCGTCCCGGGAGGGCGGCCCGGCGCGCCCGGCACCCCGGGCCTTCCGGGGGGCGCTGACGGGGCCCCGCCGCGCGTCGGCGGGGGCCGGGGGCACCTCTCCTGCGGCTGCTCCCGGCCCCCGGCCCGGCGGCCGGCCGGATGCTCGCCCCGGCATCCCGTCTCCGCGGGGCCGGCCCCGGGCGCCGCCTGCGAACTTTGAGCCCCGGCCCCTGGCGAGAACTCGCTGCTCAGGGGCCGAGGCCGGGCGACCGCGAGCCGAGCGCACGGGCTAGGATTCCGCAACCCACCCCCCTCCACCACCATCACCACTCCCCTCCCCAGCTCGGTCTGCCCCGGGTTTGTTTGAGAGTGGCGAGAAGCAGCGGTCGCCCCTTTCTCTCTCTCTCTCTCCTCGGACCATTGTTGCATTTCGCGTCTAACTGGGTTCTCTCACACACCCCCCACCCCCGAGTACCAACAGGAGGAGGGGCAGCGGGGTTGGGAAAAGAAATAAAGCGAGCTCAGATCAGATGCGGGGGGGGGGGGGAGGAAAAAAAAAAAGCAAGGAAAAAGAGACACTTAAAGGGAAAGAGTCGCCATGTTTAGCAGCTTTTTAAAAAAGATCTCGTCAATTTCACACAGAACGCACTCGCTGGGTCCCAGCCCTCGTCTTTTGTCCAATTCAGTCGCAGCAAAGATCTTTTGTTCTAACTCAGCGTGAAAAGAAAAACTTTCTTTAAATGCTATAAACTTAAACCAAACTCAAGACTCTAAACAGATCCTCCTCCGGCCACTCTAAACATATACAAGGGGTTTTGTTTTAACCGTTTGAAAAATTTGGGGTCCTGTTTTTCTGCCTCGCAGATCCCAAGCTACATTGCTGAAACTTAGTGAGAGAGAGATTTCCAACGTCTAGAACACATGCTTAAAGCAGAATAAAACAGGGACTGTCTTTTGCTTTGAAAATCATAAATTATAATTTAATGCCAATAATAATTTACAACAAATGGCTGTTTACAATAAACTAACACAAAACAAACAGGGCCAAGGGCCTGTGTTTTACTTATTAGAGAAAACTTCACACACTCACATGGATAGCACTTGCAAGAGGAGAAAATAAACAACAACCTATGAAACCTCAATCTGGAGGTCAGCAATGTTCTGTCATAAGAACATACTTAGATTTATGTATGTATATATCTACAGAAAGAAGCTGAGGGTCAGATGGAGAACTCTGCTCAGATGCACAAATCAGACAGATTTTTCTGGTCTACATGTATTGACTGGAACTGAGTATCAAAGTTTAATACACTTTACAAAATGATCCCTTTTCTTTCACATCCCCTTACCCACCACCCCCTTTTAAAATCAAACCACAACACAGTGATGTATGATGGTGGTGTGGGTGCTGCAAAGCCTCAGTAAGAACAAAAATTGCAAGCTCCCACACACTGAGCTTCCTTCAAACCAGGAAAAGAGAAAGAGGGAAAAGAAAACAACAACAAACAAACCTCCAAAACAAAATAGTTAATACTTCCAAATCCACACACCCTATAAAGTTTCCTTCTTTCTCTTTTTCTTTCTCTTCTTTTTCTTAATTTGGCTTTTAAGGACAAAGGATCCCAAGAGTAGTACAGATTGTATCTACACAATCTGAAATGTCAGAATGTCGCTGTGTTTTTATGTACAGAACTCCAATGGAAAAGATTCCCTTGACCTGTGGTCATGCTCTCACAGAAGGAACGTACAGGGGGGAGGGGAAGGCAGGCCAACTGCAAGTTATCATATATACATTAAAAATAAACCCTTCAGCCACTCTAAGCTACATCACTGAATTTGAAATCCTCTCAACAACCACCCTAGATGAGAACCACAGAATATTTTTAAAAATCACACCTACTTAAGGAAAAACTCACTGCAAACAACTGCCTTCTATTGACAAGGCTGGATTAGCTTGCTTGAACCATCTTCTGCGTAACTGTCAGAAATGTACAAAACAGTATTTTTTCCTGATCATAAAATAGATACTGATCTCAAGATTTCTAATACTTTTCACAATACCTTCCCTAAGCAGGCACTTAAGTGTGACAAATATAAGGGCCCTTTTTTTTTTTCCTGGAAAATCCATTTTTAATTAAAAGAAGGATTAGGTGAATGGGGGTGGTTTACTATATCAGTATGGCACTTCCTAAACCATAGATAAACCATTAACTTCAGCTCCCCCCACCCCATCACACCCAAATTAAACAGGCAAATACACTAGTCTACCTTTGAACAAACTGGCTGAGGGAAGTGAACAAATAGAGCGAGCCCCTGGCCCAGCTCAGAGAGAGCTAGCTCACAGGGGCTTCTCGATGGAAAGACAGTGGGGACAGCCAAACAGGTTTCAGATATCAAATAATATTTTAATTTCTGAATACTTTCAATTTCCTTGGAATATAACACACAAAGACTCGACCAAACAGTTCAGTTATTATAACTTTTACAGTATACAGAAATGTTGCACTTAAAAAAAAAAAACCTTCAGTTTTTTTTTTAAAACACAAACTGTAAACTCTAAGATACTGAATCAATCACGTTACCTATAAGTGCCAACAGTGTTATTTTGTCATGCTGATTTCAATGGTATTTTTTAAAAAGGGAAAATATCAACAATTATAATACAAAGGGTTTGCAAATATACAAACAGATATAGGATTTTCATAACAATTCAAGAACTAAGCGGGACCCAATTCAAATTACAAAAGTTCACTTTTTATTCAAAACCTCAGCATGTGTCTTGGACACATTCCTTGGCTGCCAATAAATTCCACAGTTCATTCTCTTTCTTAAAATATTTTTAAAAAGCTAGGTTTGTCATGGTGTCTTTGGGGGGGGGGGTGGGTCAGGGTAGGGGAAGTTTTTAAGTGTTGTATGTGGTTCCTCCAGTTCTCAAATTAAGAGTGCTCAACTTCATCTAAAATTTTTGGTCACCACTTGTAAGTGCGTTTCCATCATCTTTGAGTTGCCTTTTAAAGTTTTATGTCTTCCTATGATATTTTCATGGACTCAGTTTTAATTCTTGCAGAACATATATTTTAAGGATACACAGTTTTTAAGAAGCCAAGATTATATCAAAACTTATTATAGAACCACAGAATAAACTGGTTTGGAACCAGAAAAGTACAAAAAAGAACAGCTAGAGGTACATACACACAGGACAATTAATAATTTGGAAAAAAAAAAAAGACTTACTTTCTCCATTCTGCTAATTTTCTCCCAATCTCCTTAAATGCACTTTTAGCAATATTTTTCCAAAATTTACCAAAAAAAGAAAAAAGACTAATTTCCTTTTTATACAAAAATGATAAGTAGCAAGTTGTTCTGACCGACACAGGAGTTTTTTTTTTTTTAATGCATTCTGTAAAAGTTCATTCGACAGTCTTTTTTTTTTTGGAAATTCACAGTCCATTAAATTCTTCCCCTCTCTTCTTTTAGCAAACTTGTAACATCCTTTTATATCCTTTCTTAACAGAAGGAATTTAAGCAAACAAACCAGTCTTTTGCCTTTTCTTTCTCTCTGTTTCACTCCCCCTTCTTATTTTGATTGATTTATTTATTGAATTGCCATATACGGCCAGTTAAAACTGCTGCCAGACAGTAACATATCCCGGATGAGGGTTTCGATGGGGGTTTTACCTACCAAACGGACGAAAAACAATTGCTCTATGACTGAGGAGGAGACCGTGCGGAGGGAAGGGAGGCGAAGCAAAAGCTTTCCGAATCGTGTTGGTTGGTTGGGGTACTGGCTCCTAACGTATTCTTCCAAAGCACACTGGGACTTTTCCTGCAAGCTTTCCACATGGGCTACATCAGAGAGACCACAGGCATCTGGAAGAAAGTTTAAAAAAAAAGAAGAAGACGACGAAGAATTCAGTCATCAGATTAAGAGGTTTGAAATGGGTCACATGAAGTGTGTGTACAGTGCTCTGTCAAACTGCCCCAACCGGAGCTGGAGCAAATGCCTACGACTGAAAACTTGGGGGCTGGGGAGGGGGGCACCGTGTGCGACGGTCCTGGGATATTAGCTTTAAAACAGAACACAACTCAGCGTACTGCAGGCTTTCTGTGTCCCAGTCCTCAGGCTTGGTGACCGGGAGGCCCAAGCAAAGTGCACTGGGTGAATCTAGCTCAGGTCAGTAAACACACTGACAAACAGATGAAACCAAAACTACCAGTGCTCCGCCTCCTCCTCCTCTGTAAATAATAGTTTGGCTTATAATTATATAGTGGGGGGGGGGTGGGCAACAACCTGGCCCAGCCCCAGTAATGGCGCCCACGACCCACTCAGATTCTCCCCAAAGAGGGCGACTCATTTTTCTCCAGTCTTTGAAACTGATTTAAGTGGCCCTTTAAAACTGATCTTGTCAGTTTAGCCTATTGAAGGGCAGCCATGCAAACTGTGATCTCTCTGTTCATTTGAGCTGTTTCTTTTCCCTCCTTTTCTTCTCTCTCCCTTTTTCTCCTACCCAACCCCGATTTTTTTTTTTTTTTTGTAAACCCAGGTCCCTCCGAGAAGAAAACCCCCTCCCCGTTATCTTCAGGAAAACACGTTTCTTTTTCGGATATGTGAAAATACAATAAGTGCCTTTGAAATGAGAGGCTTCTCAGTGAAGGCGGTGCAGGTTGTGACCTGACCTTTGGGGGCTCCTCAGGCAAGACTGGGGCTAACACATGCATATTGTCAATCCTTAAAGTAGATATTCAAAAAAAGCCGCCACTGCGTCCACCCCAAGAACCAGAACACACATACAACCTCCTCATGTGTGGCTCTAGGGCTCTGCATGTTTACAGAATGCATAGGTATCTGTGATCAGAAATTAAAAGATCTGTTTGCATTGGACTCCTTCTCTCCACAAGCGCACTGTCTCTCTCAGAATCAGATAACAGGGACCTTTATCTCTTTGTGAGGCGATCTGCATTCTCCACACAGGCCTCTACATTTTACAAACACTAATAAATTAAACTGTTACAAGAGTATCAGGCATTTCTTTCCTTGGAAGACTAAGGTAAGTCTAAGAGCTAACAATGAGCTCAAGAAAGGAACCACCGCCTGGATGGTCTGGGAACATGGGCTGGGTGTTGGGTTGCAGGAAGGGTTGAAGGTGACTCTGGGTTATGGGACGATCCTGTCTGTACATTTGCATCAGGCAACCATTCTAGTTGTGACAGGTCCCCCGAGAAAAATAATCCAGATCCAAGCCTCTGCATAGAGCCCTTCCTTGCCCAGACACTGCCCTTTAATTGATTACCTAAGGACTTTCAAAGGCAGAATTTGGGGGTGGCGGTGAAGGGGGTGGATTTTATGCAAAAAGCAGCAATATATACAAGGAAGTGGGTTAAGGACTCAGAACCTAAAACCGACTCAGCTCAAGACTTGGGTCCCCAGATTTCCTTGGAACAATAAGGAAGAGACTGTGGATCTTTTTGTCTGCTACAGGAACTCCTCAGCTCTCCTGGTGTCCTGATTACAAGCTGCAAAACCTGCAGTGGGTGACAAGGTTCCAAGCCCTACCCAGGTCCAAATTTTGTTATCTTCAACTGGGAGCCCCCTTCCTCTCTCAGCCATGACAAAGGGGGTCAGCTGACAACTCGGAACAAGCATGTGGAAGGTGTGATTTCCACCCACCTGGGCTCTGCTGAGCTCAGCCTGGGGGGGCCAGCCAAAAGGCTCAGGTGTGGCCCAAAGTGGTAAGCCAGACACCTTCCATGATCATTTGACCTCCAGAATTAATTAATATTAGATCTATTACTCAGGTTAAACTACCTGCAAACTAATTAGATTTCATAATGCAGTCAATAATGGTTTTATATCTCTGGCAACACTCATATTCAGCCCAGGTTGCACACACTTTGGGGTGTTTAACAATTGCCTTAAGTGTTTGCCTGGGCAGGGGAAGTGACAGGCCTGAGTCTTGAACCCCCTGCAGACATCCTGAAGAGTGATGATGGGCCCTTTCTTCCTCCTGCCCCTTCCTGACAGCTCTTTCCCCTCTCTGGACAGTCTGCATTGTTTTAATAAAAAATATGCTTTTGAAAATTGCTGCCCTCAGGTTGGCCAGGCCTGGAGCTCCAACTCGCACTGAGTTAGCAGGCAAACTTTTCCCCCTGCCGCCAGGGGCAAACCTTCCCCTGGGGGCCTGATACCAGGACTGTTCCAGTGCCTACAGGCATCTCCCGGAGGCTCAGCCCGGGTGATGGAGAGAGCCATGGGGGTGGAAGAGATTCCCCCTCAGCTGGCCCAGAGTGCCTGAGGTGAGGGAGGGAACAGGAGCGTGCATCCTAGTCTGGTGGAAGGGCACCAAGCCTGCAAGGCTTCCCCATGGCCCATTTTGAGAGTCAACAGTCTGAAGCATCCTTCCCGTGGCCCAGCCTTCCTCTCCTCTCCCCAGGACAGGCCTGCCGGGGCCCCACCACTAGGCAGAGTTCCCATTCCAAGTTTCCCTCGACAGTGTGGCCTGGGCCGGCTCTGGGGTCTCCCAAGAGTTCTAGGCCCTAACTCTGAGCTAGGAGCCCGGAGGCACGAGAGAGCGGGGCTCCTTCCTACCTGAGGTGAACAGGACTATGGCCTTGAGGCAGCTGTACTCGGCGGAGTCGACGTGCAGCGCTTTTAGCTTCTCCACTTGCTCTTGGAAGATCCGTATGTGGTCCATAAAGGCGACCACCCGGTCGGCAGACATGGGCGAGGCGTGGAGGCCGGCGGCGGCCAGGAGCGGGGCGACGTGGAGGGGCATGGAGCACTGGGCCGCGTTCAGAACGAACAGCTCGCTCCAGGTGAGGCGGAGCAGGGCCACCTGGTCGGTGATCTGCAGGTCGGGGAAGAAGGGGATGTTCCGGGCCCACTCGACGGCGCTGAACAGCATCCGCGCGGCCAGTTCGCAAATGTTCTCGATGCCCATGATGTTATTGGGCTGCATGCACTGGCTGCCGAAGCGCGACGTGGGGTAGGGCTCCGCGCGCAGCAGCAGGGAAATATATCCGGACAGGTAGGAGTGGCAGTTGAGGGGGTCCCCGTTGGTCAGCGCGAACTGCCCGTGGCTCGGCTGGGTGGGCGGCATCCTGCCCCTCTGCACGGCTGCGGGGAGGAAAGGAGACACTCCGCCGTTAATGCCCAGCCTCGTTCCCCCTGCTCCCCCGGCAGGGTCGGCCCCAAGCCCGCCCCCCACCCCCCAAAACCCCCGACCCCGACTCCTCGCGGCGCAGGAACCCGCAGGCCTGTCCCTCTCTCACCCGCGCGCCAGGGCCACCGACCCGAGGGGCGCCGGGAGCCCGGCCGCCCTCTCCTCCGACCACCACCCAGGCCAGCTCCGGCGATCAGGGCGGACCACTGGCCTCGGAGGCCCGCTCCGGGCCGGGAGGCCGAGCACCCAGCATGGACCACTTTGCCTCGGGGTCCCCGGCACGGTGGGAGGGATGGAGCATTGTGGGGGTTATCTTTCTTCTTTTACTGCTGAACGGCTGATATATATATATATATTTTTTTATTGATTGGAGGAGAGGGAGCGCGGGGTGGGGGGGCGAGGCGGGGGGGAGGGGGAGACGCTTTTGCAAAAGACACCGAGGAGCTTCACCCGGGACGGCCTGTGGCCACCCCAGCACCGCTCTCCACCCGCCCCCCCGCCCCCCAAGCCCGCAGTCCCGGCCCCGCGGGCCACCCCTGGCGAGAGGCGAGCCGAGAGCCAAGGTCTGGCGGCAGCCGACTCGTTGTGCTCGCAGGAAGAGAGAGGGCGGAGAGACAGGCCGGCCGAGGCGAGAGGAAGCCGGGCGAGAGGCGGGGAGCCGGCGGCCGGCGGCGGCGCCGCCCGAGAGGGCCGGGGAGGGCCGGCGAGGGCCGGCCAGGCTCGGGCAGGAGCGGTTATCTGACGCCGGACGGGGAGAGTCGCTCTCGCAGAAACACAAAGAAACCCGGGCGTTCGCTCGCCGCAACCCGGAGCCCGCGCCCGGCGCTGAGCGCGCCATTGGCCGAGCAGGGCTCGCGGCGCTCGGCGAATTTCATATCACAAAGACCCAACTCGCGCAGAGCGAAAGCAGCCGCCCCAGGCCCCTCGCCCACCCTGCTCCTACTCCCTATCGCGCTCTCCTCCTTTCAAAAGTGAAAGGAAAAAAGAAAACAGAGGGTTTTTTTTTTTTTAGCCGAATGTTAATCCACGGAGGGTCACATGAGCGCTGCCCGGGCGGCAGCGTTAATACGGCGAAGTGCATAAAATTGCCATTTGTAATTTGAACCTCCTGTACAAAAAGTACAATCTCAGGTTGATTTTTTTTTTGAGAGGGTGGGGGCTGGAGAGAGGGGTGGGGAGGAGGGACATATGTTGAACATGCAGGGAAAACAAGGAGAGAGAGAGAGAGAAACGGAGAGGAAAGAGAAGTAAACCAGGCTTTAAAACACCACCACCACCACCACACCACCACCTCCCCATCCCTTGCAGAAAGGCGAACTCGAATGAACCGGCCATCAATGCAAAGGAAATGAAAACAGCCTGAAGAGAGAGTTGAGGAAATCAGTCGGCCAAAGCATGCGGATTTGGGGGGGGGTCTGGGTTCCACTGTAGAACTTGCTTCTAGTATAAAAACCCCCTTTCAGCTGCAATACGAAGAGAAGAGCTTGGGGCGTCTGTGTCCTTACCCCGAGCAGGCTAGCCAAACGCACCCAGGGCCCCGGGACCCCGGGCGAGGGGAGGAGAAATGAGAGGCCGATACCTTCCCGTCTCATGCCCACTTTGAGGCACTTTTTGAGGCGGCAGTACTGACACTGGTTGCGGTGGTGCTGGTCGATGGGACAGTTCCGGTTGGCGCGGCACGTGTAGCTCAGGTTCCTCCGCACGCTGCGCTTGAAGAAGCTCTTGCAGCCTTCGCACGTGAACTGGCCGTAGTGCTTGCCGCTCGACTTGTCCCCGCAAACCACGCACTCGATGTGCTGCTGCTGCTGCTGTTTGTCGCCGCCCGGCCCGCCAGGGCCGCCCTGGCTGCCGGCTGCCGTCTGGGCCGGCGTGCTGGCCGGGCCCCCTTGGCCGGGCGTCTGTGGCGTGTGCGGGGCGCCAGGCGGCGGGCCGGGCACGGGCGGCGCCTGCGAGGCCTGGCTGCCCTGAGAACCGGGCACCTCGTCCTGGGGGTCGCGCCACGTGCTGACTACCATTGCCATATCTATGGGGGCCGCGTCCGGACTTCCTGCTCCCCTGGCTGCGGGCGGCAGCGGGCTCCCGGGTCTCGGGCTCCGGCGCGCCGCCTTTTGTGTGTGCAAAGGGTGCGAGAGGGCGCGGGAGGGCGCCCCGGGTGGCTCGGGGGGGCTGGTTGGTTGAGGTTGGTTAGTTTTTCCTTTTTTGTTTCTGCTTTTGCAAAGTTTTGTCGATTGCTCGTCTGGCCCGGTGTGTTTGTTTTGTTTGTTTCTCTCAGCTCAGCTCTGTTGCTTTCGGGGGGCTTTCCGTCGGGGAGGGGAGGCGAGGGGATGGGGCCGGGGGAGAGCAAGTGGGAGCAGAACGTGTGGAGAGAGAGAGAGAGAGAGAGAGAGAGAGAGAGAGAGAGAGAGAGAGAGAGAGAGAGAGAGAGAGGAGGGAGAGCTGCAAGTCGATTGTCTGGCTTCAAGACAGAAGTAGGAGGCAAAAAAAAAAAAAAAAAATCTCTCCAAAGATCTTCCTCGCTCACTCTCTCCCTCCCTCTCTCGTTCACTCCCTCGCTCTCAGAGCTGGTGTGTAGCCGAGGAGTTGGAGGAGGAGGAGGAGGAGAGGCGACTGTCCGGGGGCCAAGTCCAGGGCAGCCCACAGTCAGCCATTCAGGAAAGCCATCGAAATCGGGAGGACTCGGAGAGCAGAGGCGCTGGTCTCGGGCGCGCCCAGAGAGCCAGGCAGGCCGGGGCGGAGGCCGGCGGCCCGCGGAGTGGCCGGAGCGCTGCCCGGGTCCGGGGGAATCAGCATGAAAGTGGTCCGCGTCGGGCGCTGCGCGGCGTCGTCCTGGCGCTGGGCCGCCGCCGCCGCCGCCTGCCCCGGGCGCCCCGGCGCGCGCCTCGCTCGCTCCGGCCGCCGCCGCCCGCTTTCGCCGGATAGAGGCCGCTCGCTGCTCCCTGCGGGCCGCCTGGGCCGCCGCCGCCGCTGGAGCCGGAGCCGAAGCCGCCGCCGCCGCCGAAGCCGCCGGGTCGGGCCCGGAGCCGCCGCGTCTAGCGCCGCCGCCGCCGCTGAAGCCTCTGCCGCTGCTGCCGCTGCTGCCGCTGCTGCCGCCGCCGGAGCCGCTGCTGCTGCCGCCGGAGCCGCCTCACACACATAGGGAAAGAGTCAACTCGCCGGCGGCAGGGGAGAAATGATAAAAGAGAGAGAGGAGGGCAGATCACCACCTAGAAGCACATCCTTCGTGCGCAGAGGGGGGAGAAAAAGACGGAGAGAAAGAATGAAAGAGGGGAAAAAAGGCAGCACGGCACCCGGAGAAAGAAGGCAACTCGGGGAGAGGAGGAGGAGGACGAGAAAACACACACGCGCGCACGCACACACACACCGCGGAGAGAAAAGAACAGAGAATCAAAGTGATCAAATATGCTAAAAAGGGGGGCGCGGGAGGGAATGCGATTTATAGGCGCCGGGGCTGGCAGAAGTGGCTTCTCCGCGATCAGCTCACTGAGCTCTCTATATAGTGAACTTTGACACGACTGCTGCAACTTAGCGCACGTTGCCATGGCGACGGCGCGCCTTATAAGGCAGCCGCCGGGGTTGGCCTGGCCAGGCGCGCGCGCGCCGCCCCCTCGCCGTCATTGGCCGGAGCGCGGCGGCCCCGCCATGGCGGCCGCGGGCGCAGCCCGGTCCTAGCGCGAGCGGCGTCGCGGCCGGGGCGCGGGGCGCGCGGGGGGCGGGGGCGCGGGGCAAGGGGGGGGCGGGGCGGGGGTGGCGGTGCCCCCGCCTCAGCCAGGCGGGGGATGGGCCCGCGCCGTCCCCTGGCGCGCGGCCACCGCGCTCTGCGCACCCCGCACCCGAGGTTTCCGCCCCGGCGGGGAGAGGAGCGCGGCGCGCATGGAACGACGCCTCTTAAAGGCTCCGCGAGAGGCTTTGGATGGAATCGGGGACTTCGATTCTCACAACTTGGCAATGCCACCGGTTCCGCAGCTCGCGCACCACGCGGGACTCCCGGCGCGTCTTGGTGCCCGCGGTGCCAGAGAAAGAGAAAAGTTGCCCGGTTTCTTTGCAGAGGGGTAGTGGGTGAGGATGGGAAGGTACCTAGAGCCCAGCTGGCAGGCATTTTCCAAATGAACCAATTGGTCAAATCCGGGTGCATGGTAGACCCTTCCCTTACTCAAGTCTGATCACTTGCTTGGTTTGGTGGTTTTTTCCCCTTCTTTCTTTTTTAAAGAAAAAAAGCCGTTCAGTGGTTCTTTTTTTTTTTTTGTCCATGTAGGGTTAACATTTCACAGGTATGTGGCCTGACATTTTAATTGCTCAAATAAAGCATCTCAGATGCTGAGAAGCCGAAGTAGACTTCATCTCATTGTCATGACGCAATTAAAATCAATTTTCTTCAACTTTATTCTCTCTCGTTAGTTTCAGCTAACTCCCAAGCCAGCGAGCGTCCTGCCACACACCCAGTCGTGGGGAGAGGTGAAAAGACCTTTCTGCCGGCTGATGGACAAGTGGACGCAGCCTCCAGCGTCCCCTGTGCGTACCCTCTGAACACACATGTAAGCGCACATGTATCAGATGCACATTTGTCAATGTACACAGACAAAGACTTCAGCGACTATGCTCCTAGGTCATAGAACAGTTGAGTAGGACTTCATTGTTCCTCAAGTTCCTTTTAAGCATTCATACAGTCATTAAAACACACACAGAGATTCTGCCCCAAATTGGCAATAATACCAAGTACAATTCACAGGAATCACTGCACAAACCATATTCTACCTCAAGAGATTCGCTGCAATGAGAACAACTTCATTGCCTGTGCCATTCTGCTCAATGTGCTAAAAATCATCAAGCCGGTTGTATCTCTGAATTTTGGAGCATTTGGTTTTAAACATCAAACATCTAGAATTGTCCCCCAGAACATATTATATTCCAACACAGTAATCTTTCTGTTCGCTTTTGACCAGCTAGTGGATCATGACTATTCAACATTTATAGAACAAAATTGCGACTCCATCGTACACTCTTTGCACCAAGAGAAATCTATGGACTGGTAATCCAACCAGGTTTATGAACAAGATATTTTACACGAAGCATGGTGAGCCTCAGGAAGCATGAACACACATAAAGGGTAAATTAATGACCACAGGAAAGCATCCTTGATAGTTTTAGAAATCGAGGCAATGAACAATTTTAAAAAATAAATTGTACAAATAATTGACATGTGTAGATTGTACTTTGTATTCAATACCCTTTACAAACACGGGCAGAATAGAAGGTAAGAACTAAAGGAAGATGTAGGCAGAGAGGGGCTTGGTTTTAGGGCAGGAAAGATCCTCCTTGCTTCATTCTTGAAACCTTCTTAACCCTCACCCTTTCTCCGCTGAAATCAGATATTTCACTAAAGCTGCAGGTGCTGGGATTATTTGGAAGTTTTTTTTTTTTTTTAAACCTCCAGTGAACACTGAACTATCATGAACCTGGTGTGTAATGAGATTGCCGTAGAGGGAAGCCAGGCAGCAAATTTCAGGTTGATTATAGATACAATATAATTTTCTTCTAAAGAGGACAAGAAGGATGGAAAAGAAATCATTTCAGAGAAGGTTGTGTCTTTTTCTTCTTTTTCTTTTCAATCTCTATGATTCGAGGAGGAATTGCCTGATGCTACAGATGTCAGTAGATTAGGGGCAAACTCAGCAAAGATGTGGTAGGGCTGGGGTTGAGATAGAAAATCTAATGGGCATCCTTATCTCAATTTAATAGAAGATAAGAATAATTGATTACAGAGGAACCCTAAAGTCGCCTCTTGGGTGCAGGCGCTTCTATGGCAAGATAAACTTCTACAAATATGCAGTGGGAAAATTTTGAGGAGCAAGAGTTCCCCCGTCCACTTTGAGATTTTTGGTATTTGAAGTACGCTCTGATGGCCTCAGATTTTAAATGAAGGATTTCCCAACCATCTTCAACAGCTCTGGAGTCTGCTAGGCGTATGACCTCAGGGCTGCTATAGAGTCAGAGGTGTTTTACTCTGTATCTTAGGACTCATTCAGTTATGGGGGTGCTATTAAAAAGCCAAAAAACAAAAAGAAAAAAATGACTATCAATTGCAGTTAATTTTATTGTATAGAAGGAGAGAGAAGATTGCAGACTGAGAATGAAAAAGAGGGGAGCAGGTTTTAAAATGTCTTCTTCAGAGATGCTCATATTCTTTGAATTAAAACAGCTCTAAGGCTAAAAGATAAATATTAATATGTTGTTATTTTTTTAATCCAGCCCAGTCTTTTATTGCAGATGTAAATTTATTTTAATGAGAAGAATGGCAAGCTTTAATTTGGCCAGAGAAAGTTGAAAAAACATTTGCTTAACTGTGTGTGTGTGGGGGGGGGGAACCCACCCAGGAATATGATTTTCTTGCAGAAAGTGGCTGTAATTCTCCACAAATTAAATCACAATATGAATACAGACCCCAGCAAATGGTGAGTTTAACTCTGAACTCAGTAGAAACCAGTTCTGTCCACCAGGATTCATTGAAATCCTCCTTCCCCTCAATCTAGTCCGTGTGTGTTTTTCTCTTCCACCACACTGGAGCTCCATGAATAGGGAAAGGGGCTTCCATTGTGTCTCTCTGAACTTCCAAGTCAATGCAATTTTTAACCACTGGCTTGTGGTACTTTGAAAATCACCAGGGGCTGTCAGAGTTGGGTCCTCTGAAAAATTTACAGTGCTAAATCAGAGCATATGCTGGGAGGGAAAAAATTGCTTAAGATTGGAGCTAGTACAGTATCTGTCTGCCCCCTAGTGTAAGAGTCCTCGCTGCCTAAAATTCAACTTTAAAAGAAAAGAGCTCTTAAAGGGAAACGACTTTGAGCTCACGTAGGCATAGCAGAATGAAACTTCTGTACATTTTAATCTGAATAATTCTTCAGGATTTAAAATTAATTGGCTTTGACTTGGTTGGACCGGACTCAGATCTCGCTACCTCTGCGTTTCCCGATTCCCTGGCGGAGAGGTGATGATTTTTTTTTTTTTTTTCCTTCCTGAACTGGGTTTATGTGCGTCCCCCTCACCCCCTCCTCTCTTTTTCTTTCTCTGTCTCTGTCGTCTCTCTCGCTGGCTTTTTAAAAATGAGGAACCGTTCCTTGAACGTTCTGGATAGAGCACAGAATTGCTTAAGTCAGCCCGACGCGGTTGCAATAGACAGCAAAAAGGTAAACGTTTGCCTGAAATTCGCACGCCAGCTCCACCACCCCGCCCGATGGTGAGTACCCTTCTCTTCGCGATTCTCCTCCTAGCTTAACCGAACGCTCGCCTCCCCGAGCCGCGGCCGAGGGCGCCGGGCAGCGCTGTCTTCCCTCCCTGCCTGGCTGGCTGTCAGTGGCACAAGGTTGCAAAATGCAGCGCCGAGGCAAATCGAACAGTAAATTCTGACACTTAGTGCGAGCCTCGCAGCTCCTTTGCTAGAAAACCGAGTCGTCTGATGCTTGGAAAAACACGCTTATAAGGACTGGCTTCTAGTTTGCTCTAGCGAAGGAAATGAGTTTGAGGAGATGGGAGGCACCGCAGTCTTTACGCTTCGGTTTAATCATATTTTGGCAGCTTTGCAATTGTATATTCCCCCTCTTCCCCCCTCCACCACCTCTCCTACCACACACATGTAATAAAATATGGCAATGCATTGAATTGACTGTCTCCCCTTCCCCGAACCCCTTAAACCACAGTCCTAGGCATTTCATACACGTTAGCAATCCGATTTTTTTTGAAAACCCCCAAGTCATCCCCAACCCCACATAGCACAAGGAGAAGAGTGAGAAAGGAGAGAGAGAGAGAAAAAAAATACTGTAAGTAAACATACCAAAACCATATTTGCCTTGTTCAAGGTCCCAAACCGCTTGCATCTTCCTTCTAAACAGGAATAACTCTCCTTTAGTTTGGCGGGTGAAATAAACCGCTTTGTTGGCCCCCTGAAAAGATGTGTCTTTGATAATTAAAGAGAATCTCCTCCTCGGTGTTTATCTAAGCGATTGTGCAAACTGATAAAAAGTAGGCACTAGCCTGCAGGGAAAAAGAGGAAAGGTGAAGGGAAAGATCTTCCACCTCAAGGAAGTGCTTCCCCATGTATCAGACGCTCTCAGCCTTGGAAAGCCCTGCACAGTAACTTTAGAGAGACGAGGTTTCAGGGAGCTTTGTACATAGCTGCTGAGGAATGCAAGCCTCGCCTTTAAGAAAAAAAACCCCAAACCGTAGGTAGGAGATGTCTGGAGTGATCCTTGTCTCTCATCTCATTCCTTAGAAGGAAGAGTGCGTTGTTACACCTTGTTTGGGGCTGGAAAGAGGAGACTTTAAAAACACCCGTCCAATTGAAAAAAATCTCCCAACTTAATGAGTTTAGTCGGAGGCTGGGGCTAACGGCTCAGCCTCAGCAGAAAACCGCCAACAACTATAGGCGATAGTGCAGAGCAAAGACGACCCAAGGCACAGCCAAATTCCACTGTTTGGGGTCGAGAGGGATGGAGACTAATCCTAAAGCAAGTTGGAAAAAAAAACAGAGGTGGGAGAGGAGGGGAAAACAGCAGCCTCACAGACTGGCAGACAGGCTCCCTCACCCTGGATCAAAGATAGAACTTGAAACAGGAAGGCAACATTTTTCCTAGGAGTCCGTTGAAATCCTCATTTTCTACTTTTAACTATCCCCCCCAAAGGGATTTTTCCCTCTCCCCTGCACATTCATGCCCCCCCTTTCCCAGTTCTGCTTCTAGAACTTTCCTGAAGCCGGAACCTATTTCTTTGGGAGGGGGGAAGGGGTTCCCCACTCCGAGTTTTCAGATAATGAATGCTTAATTCACCCCCTCCCTCCATCCACCTCCCAAAATGAATAAAGGAAGCAGGAATATAGTAACTAGCGAAAAATGAGAATAAACTATGTTGCCTCTCAGAGTTTAATGCAGTTTTAACTAATGGATTTTTGTTTTGTTTTGTTTTAAGAGAAGAATAATGGGGGAAACACGGATCTTTTATTTTAGGAAACTGCTATGGTAAGATGTATGTCAGAATTAACAAATGGAACTGACGCTCTTGGGCTGCTTCTTGTCCTTGCCTTAAACAGGAATTAAGTTAAACACAGTGCTGAATGTTAATTACATGTTTACTGGCTAATGAAAATTACAAATGGTTTTGCCACCTCAAACAATGATGAAAACTCTGAAGACACTGTAATTATATACTTTGAGGGAAATAACTCAGAATATTGATCATAAGAAGTGTAAATCTTTTTTTAACTATTCATTAATACCATAAATATGGGCTACAGAAGTTTTTCCTTGCGGTTTGTCTCATCAGTTACACCGAGGGGATGGATGGTGAGGCTCCTCTGGGGAGGTGGTGAACTCATTCTCTTCGAGAAGGAGGCCACTTGTGTAACTGGGGGTGCCCCCCTCCCTTTCGCCCCCGCCCCCTTTAACCCCAGCAGAAGGTCGAGGGATAGCTGAACAGGGGGGCCGGGCTCAGGGCAGGTGAAGGTGATCACAGCCCAGCCTCTTCCTCCCCTCCCCTCTCCTCGCCCTTGCCTCCCCTCGCCTCCCCTCCCCTCCTCCCTTCTCAGCCAGGTCTGACCGGTGACCGCCTTCCCCAGCCAGGGCGCCAGTCGGATAACCTGGCGTTGAGCTCCTAATGGAGGACAACACATCGCAACCCAGCGAAGCACCCCTGACATCCCAAGTTCCCTCCTTTAGAGGTGGCTAGGGCAGTTCATTGCAAAAGAAGAAAGAAGAAGGGAGGGAAAAAAAAAAGTTGAGGGTGGAGGTGTTTATTGGGTAAGATGGTTCAGGCAACCGAACCGGAACTGGTTTCTCTGGGTTTGGGAGTAGAGACGTATTTTGCTGATTGAACTCCGGCCTGAGATGTAGCTGCACTGCGCAGTGTAGCAGGGGTCAAAGGTGAGGTCTGCAGTAACCCTAAAAGGCTGGTCTGGCCTGGCCAGAAGGCCGAGCCGGCGGAGGAGTGGGCCGCCTGCCGCTTCCGAGGGGATGCCCGTGAAACCCGCACGCGGGGGACACAGAGCTGAGAGCGGGTTTTCAGTGCAATATTGAAGATTTCTCCAAAGTGCCCTAGGCTCGTGGGACTGGAGTCCTCTTTTCCCCTGAGAATTCCCAAGGCGCTGGTCTTTGTCTTGGAAGGAATGGAGTTTCTGAATGGTGTGAAAGCGACAGAGAGGGTCGCTTCAAATCGATTTTACTTGTCCTTTCTGTCTTTTCGGATCAACGCCCTTCAATGGGCACAGAGGTGCTCTTTCAACCAAAAACTTGTGCTACATTTTCTGCCTGTATTGGTGCTAAATACAATAAGCACTGGGCAGATTTTTTTTTTCTTTGCTCTCCAAAGCCAGAAAGCACCCTAATTAAATTGTTTTATATGGACAGTCAAGACGGACCAATTAAGTATGCATTAGTATAAAGATATAGTCTGCAGATAAGGCGGTTTAGAAAATCACGTGTGGGACAAAAGAGAGAAGGCTAACACTGGGGAGGGGGTGCCTGGGCCAGCAAGGTCGCTCACCTCTCTCCCTGGGCTCCGGGGGATTTGAGGGCCTCAGGTGAGAGGGGGCCAGGGCCGATCACAGGTGGGCCGTGCTGGAGCTTTGCAGGCCCGCGCCCCCGACCGGAGAGCGGAGGAGCCCAGGGGCTTGACATCTCTCACCCTCGGCCCGAGGTGGCGGTCCCGCAGGAGCGGGCAAGGGTGGTGCTGTGAGTCCAGGTCGGGCCCAGGGCTGGTGTCTAGATCGTGGGCGCGGCCCTGAAATAAAGAAGGCGTGTGCGCCCCGGGGAGGCCCGCGGAGCCTGGGGGGCGCGGACAGAGCCTCGGCCGCAGCCCTCTGGCAGCCGGGATGAGGGTAGGAAGCCCCCCTTTCAACTTGTCCAAGCCACGGGCTTTCTCTGCTTCTGAGGAAACGGGAGTTTCTCGGCGAGCAAAGTGAAGTTAGCGCCCGACGCCAGCGGCCCAAGGGGCGTCGAGGGCCAGTCGCAGAAGTGGGGGAAAGACCGGGGGTCGGAGACGAGGGCTCCAGGACAGTAGCTCGCGGGCTGGGTCCCGGCAGCCTCCCCGGGCCTCCCCACATCCCCTCCGCCCTCGGAGGTGTGGGCGGACATAGTGCAGCGCGTCCAGAGGGCGACCTCCCGGGCCGCGGCCTGCGCTTCCCCGCGTCGCGGCGCAGGGCTGCGATAGGTGGTCCCTGGGGCGCGGGAAGGGCGCGCGGGGCGCGCGGGGCGCCCTGGGTCTGGGTGGGGAGGGGGAAGTAGGGCGAGAATTAGAGCCTGGGGAGGCGGCTGAATGTCAAAAGTAAAAAGGTTGAAAAGCCAATTTTCCCGGCGCGCTTTCGCCCCCCACCCCCCTCCCCTTTGCTGGTTGCTGAGGCCGTAAATCTGCGGCCGGAGGCGAGGGCGGGAGGAGCCCGCTCGGCGCGGCCCCGCCCGGCCCGTGCGCACCTCCCGGTGGGCCCCGGATCGATCCGAAGCAGAGCTGAGGATGTCACCGCACTAAATATTTACTGATCACACACAAATAGCCGGGGCTCCAACGATTTTCCTCTGTGAGGAGAGCTCAGAGAGAAGGGTAAATCATTTTATTAGTGTGGATAAAGCCCAGAGCACACTCCGGGCTGGAGTGTTTTAAGATGTGTCTTCAACGGGATGAAAAGAGTTAGGGAAATCGATACGGAGTGATTAGGAGCCCCCGGGGTGACCGAGGGGGCCGGGGCTTTCAGGGATTTGGCGAGCCTGAGAGGTGGGGAGCAAGCCTCGAGGGGGGCGGCCCGAGCCCTGCCGGGGAGCTCGCGGGCGCAGGCCTGCGTCCCTCCGTCCTCGACGGGAGACGCGAGGGCGCAGCCCGCGGCTCGGTGTCCGCGCGGCCCGGCTCGGCTGGGCCGGCGCGGGGTGAGCGCAGAGCCGACCGCTGCGGGGCCGAGGGCTTGGGCTCTCGGGCAGCACGTCGCGCGGGCCGGCGGTCAGGTGGCCGCGGAAGGGGATCGCAGGCCGGCTCCGGGATGCTGGCAGGTTGGCCACAGCTCGAGCGCTCCAGGCAGCCTCCTGGAGGAACCGTGTGGCCCAAGCGTGTTGCGTTTCCCCTTGCCGCTCCACGTAGCATCCCCGAACTTTCTCCTGGGTGAATTTCTGGACACCCCCCACCCCACCCCGTCTCCCTTAGTGTTCCCGGAGAGGACGCAGCGGCCCAGCCCCGCGGGCTGCGTCTCCTTCCCACCCACCCAGGGTCAAGTGCAGCCGCCGGGTGGCGGGACCCGCTGCGGACTGTAGGGCGAGTGGATTCGGGGTTCGGGGCTCCTGGGCAGGTGGGGGGACATCTGAGGGCGAGCAGACAGGCAGAGGCGGGGTGGCACACACCAGCGACGCCCTAAGGAGGTCTCCGTCCTCTCCAGGGCTGGGAAAGCAGCTTTGGGGGGGGGGGCGGGGGTCTCAAGCGACGGTCCAGCGAGAGAAATGGGTCTGTGGCCCCAAGGCGAGATGCAGGGGCCTGAAGTGCGAGGGCGCAAAGGCTTGCGGGGCTCGCTGAAGTTACGGGGGAAGTTTGCTGGGAAGAAGAGGAAAATCTCCCCAAACTCAAGCAGTAAAGTCCTGGAGTTAAAAAAAAAATGGCTTTTCACTTCTGGAAGCGGAAGAGGCATCGCTCTCTCCTGTGGACAAACCTTGAGGTTCGAAACAGCTGCAAATAATCAAGAAGGCACAAATTTCGGGGGGGAAAGGGGGAGACAGAAGGCGAGAAAGGGAAGAATCTCTTTCGTTTCTTCGTCCCTTTCTCGCGCTTAACCTTTCCCTAACAATCTGCTCTTCCTGAAGATGCTGATAGCTTGCTGGCTTATTTATTTATTTATTTTCCCTCTCCCCAAATTTGCTCGATTTCCTTGGCAGCTTGAGGAATTCAGTTCAGGCTGCCCTACTTGGCTCCTCGGTGCAACAGGAAATATAACTGCAGATCCAATTAACCGTTTTTCAGAAGGGAGTTGGTTTTTTTTTTTTTTTTTTTAATATGAATCCCAGTGGATTGGAGTGATGTGTTCAGGTGTGAAGCGATTGGTGCCTCGAATTCCTTCCTCGGTAATCCTTTAATTCCTGCGATGGAAGCTCGAGAGCATCGCTGACCTGCAGGCTGTCAGGAGCCGGGTCTCTATTAACCCTTCTTGGTCTCGGCCAGAGCGAAGGTTAACTACACTAATGTTTACCAAAGGGGAGGTAGCAAGGGGAAGGAAGGGTGGAAGGAAGGGAAGAGGGAAGAAGGGAGGGAGGGAGGAAGGATAGAAAGGTAAATTCACTCTAGCTGCAAGGATTTTTAAAGCTCTCACTGGTCCTCCCCCACCCCCACCCTTCCTGCGAAAGCGGGTTTCCACTGAGACAGACAACAGTCTCATCCATCAAGGTATCTCACTCCACCGAGATGGACTTTGGGGGATAAGAAAACGCAATGTCGTGAAATATTTTCTTCTATTTAACTGACCACCCAGTTCACTTTAAAAATCATTCTAACATGTGAGCAGCAATTAATTATTCGGGGAGGGGTTAAGCACCCCCCAAATCTTAATACATATTTTACCTTCTTTAAGTAAAAGCTAATTTAGAATCTTGTCAGTAGTCAAATTATAGCCATAAAATCCAGATGAGATTTGGAAAATACATTCTGCAGTTTTCATACCTGGTGGCCTTTTAATGAGTAGTTATATAATAGTTATGTGCATGAAGGTATATGCACATGGGTGTGTATATATTCTTAGGGTGGTAGAAGTTCCATGATGGATTAAAGGTTTATATACTCAAGCACTAGATAGAGGCTGTCACTCATGTGTATATGCTGGGGTTCTGGAGGAAAACAGTACAAAAAGAGTTTCGAATGAGTTCCTTGGAATCACTATTGCTGAAATACAAGCTGAAGCAACTTAGTATTGGTGAAGCTATTGTGCCTTGCAGAATCATAGAAAGATACTTCAAAGTAAAAATGTCAGTTTTCAGTTTGGTAGCTTTGGCAGGGCATTTAAACAAAAGATGAGCATCTTTTGGCTAATATATTTATTTAAAAATTCAACAATACCCTACTGTTTATTTTACTTTTCAGTGAATTGAAGAATTAAAAGAGAATAGGCTCTAGCTAGAGATGATAGCATAAGGGATTTGTTGCCCATTTAACCAAGTCTGATGTGGTCTGTATATGCTTTTAATATTATTTTACAAGGCAACTCCTGTTGAAAAAGTTTTAAGACATCTAAAGCTATGCAGACATCAGTTCTTATTTAGAAGTGGACAGAGTGAAGAAAGATTGTCTGATTCTGTATTTTTTTTTCTCTTAAGAGACTGCTAATGAATTCTTTAAAATGACAGTTTATTTTTGGTATGTCAAAAAAGGCATTAATCAAATGGTATCAAGTGCCAGTCATTTAAATGTGAAGGTGTTAGTAAGGCAAATATCCAGATAAATTAATATTGTTAATTAGCTGCATCAAGGTACTTAGAGAAAATAAAAAATAAAACAACGGAGGGGATTTATCTTGTTTAATTTCCTTTAGCCACAAACTCAAGTTGAATTTCAGAAGGAGAAAATAATATAAGGGCTAATTTCCATTCTCTTGGCTTTTAGAAGGTTGAAAAACCCCAGTTTTAGTACAAAGCGTATAATCAGAAAAGTAAGTAAATGGACAAAGATATACTGCCTTAATAGAAAAGCATAATGTATGAATTTAGAAAACATAATTAATTAGTTAATTAATTATCAACTGTACTTCTCTTAAAAGGATGGTTTCTTGAAATGGTAAAGGTACGTATTAAAAATAAAGGACTACTGTGCAAAATTAAGAGGAGGCTGTTTAACATAATATTCAGTTTTATTTTTTTGATGGTAGGAACAAGGTATGATGTTTAAATAAAATTTACACTGATCACTTTTATTTTGAATACAGAATAGAGAAAGGTGCCTTTCCTATCTGTCTATTACAATTTATAATAAATTAGTCAACCTTATCAAAGGGATTACAATGTGCTTGACTGAGGCAAATTGACTGAGATGATATCACTTAAAATAGTTTAAAGCAAAAGTGAAAATGTAAAAGGAAGAGAATATTGACTTCAGTGAAAAATGTCACATTGGGTATTTCTTGACAGGACTACATTACATCACAAGTCAGGGAGAAGCTAAAAATTTAGGCACTCCTATTTCTCTGCAGAATGTATGTTAATAATAGATTTATTGACTCCAAAAGTTATAGTGAAAATTTTTACTTTTAATATATTTTGTTGTCATATTGCCGTCCAAATAGAACGAAGTGAAATTTAAGTGAGGTTTAAAAAATCTTAATATTTTTCTTTATAGTCTTCAAGAATTATGCTTATTTACTCATTGACTTTTTCCATATGATTTTGATTAATACCTTTTAAAATCATGTACTATTGTGATGAATTCTGCATTGTTTTTACATTGAAAACAAATTAAAAGGCATCAGATCTTTCTCATAAAGTGTAATTGAATATTCAGTTATTGAAGAGCTATTGTATAAATTTCCCAGGTTCTAAACACCTAAACTTATTCTTTCATACCAACTTTTAAAATTACAACTGGCATGGCTGTGGATGAATATTTTATATAAGAGCCTTTATTTCTTTTCTTGTTTATCTGGGAAATGCCTCTAATTTGTCTTTTATGCTTAAATACTTTACAAAAGCATTAGTCCATATGCAAGAATTATCCATCCTCTTGAAAAACAGTGAATAAAATTCTAATTATAGAGAAAAGGTGTGATGTTTATTCTGAAGTTTCAGGAACATGTAAAGTTTTCTTCATAAACTGGAGGAAAGTCTATCCTAGATAAATTTAAATAGGGCAGCTGTTGGATATGGTTTATATTCGTGTCCTTCTGCCTTTTTGCCTTTGGCACTAAGGTATCTGGGTTCTTGTCTTCACACACTGTCTATTGTTAGCAGATTTTGAGATTAAAATACTTTCAAGTTGTCTTGTCGTTATAGCTCCATACATTATTAAATTGGAAAATAATATTCAGTTCTGTGTTCAAATTTGTATGTCCAGACAATAATGAGGACTTGAGTCTCTGCACTACTCTGGCCCCCCCAAATCCAGCAACAACAACAACAAAATCATTATATACACAAGTTAAAGAGGAAAAAAAATAAATCTTAGGATTCAGTGTGTTGGAAATATAGAATCATTGTTTTTACAATGGAGGTCTTTATAAGACTTGTTTCATCTTAACTATCTCCCAGGATGGGATACTTCAGTTTTATATATAATTTTTGAAGTCTGAGCAACTTTTAACACTATATCAAGTTTTAACAACGTATCACAGGCTTTTTGAAGTGAAGGAAGATTTGAAAAATAAGCCTCCAAAGTAAAAACACACACAGAGAGATAATTGACAGGGCATGAGGCTTGTCTTCGTTTTTAGGGATGTTAGGAAAGTTTTACTTTAAAAAATTACAATAACATGCTTTCTCATCAGGTGCAAAGCAAGATAATTATAGGGGAAAAAGAAAAGATTCCCTCTCATTCTTTTCCACCAAAAAACCAAAGCACCAACAAAAGCCAAAACAAACCACAATCCTAACCCCCACATAAGAAGCCCCTTACCACTTGAGGGAAAGTTTCTGTGCTAACTGGGGTCCTGCCCGAGCTCCTGGCTGGTCTACTTTTAAAGCAGGCAGTGGTCACACTCCAGCCAGGAGCCTGGCAGCCTCAAAAAGGAGGCAGATTCTCTGAGCTCACTGCAGATGACCTACCACTTAGAGGGAAAGTTTGGAAAGCAACTGTTGAAAGTTAACCTCTCCTTTCCAAAGAAGGTTTTCAGAGGCAGCACCGTGATAGTTGATATAACCAACTTTATTATTTTCTAAGGCATTCCTAACTTTTATGATTCTGCCCCCCCATCCCCCTTCCTTTACTATCTGTCTTGTGCCTCCAGGGCCAGTGAAAGAGCAGGGTAGATTCTAGATTGCTTTCAGAGTTTGCCTTCTCTGATGATGGATTACCATGTCAATTTAAACGGCATAGGATTAATTTGTTTCAATGATTTCTCTTTAGGCTGAATGCCAGCCGTTTTTCTATCTCTCCCTTGCTCTTCAGAACAACCACCACCAAAAAAAAAAAAAAAAGCCTTCTTTCCATATTCTAAGTTAGGAGACAATAATAGAAATAGACAAGTTAGGTGTAATGTTGCAACACAGTTATAGGTCTGAGTGTTTTTATCTTTGTCTAAGAGGCTGAAACATAGAGTCAATCACATTAAAATGAAATTGGACTCAACATTTATTCAATAAATACTTGTAGATAATCCAGTGCCGAGTGCTTTTGACACATAAGGACTTAATTTGTCTTGGATAACAATTTATTAATATGGCACATTTAAACTTGCCACCTACAATAAGATTTTTGAGATCTATAACAACTCAAATGATCATTGTGAAAAATAATTTGTGTGAGGGAAGGAGATCTTTTTGAGAATGACTATCTTTATTACATATGAATATATGTACACATACATATATATATATGTAGCTACCTATACACACACACACACACAAGTAACACATATACATTTCAGATCATATGCAAACAAAAAGGCTCAATAAATTTAAAAAAAATCCATTAAATATGCAGGTAGAGCTAACCCTTCCAAACTAAGAATGTCAGCCAGTTTTCTCT